GGCATTACTTCTGGAGGAACACGAGAAGGTAGTGGGTGTTCTTTATTTTCCATGTAATACTCCTGAATAGTCCAGGTTTTGCTTAGCTTGCTGCTGCGCTCTAAATGGAGTTATGTTGGGTCTTTCACGTAGCGCTGAGTGTTTCAATACACATTTCTTCACTCAGTTCAGTGTCAGCTTGGTGGATTGCATAAATTTGTTTGCATCAATTTCCCATAGCTGGTAGTATGCATCAAGGCCTCTTTTATCCTGTTGATGCGTTTATCTCGGAGACATGAAGGCTATTCCATCCTCATTACATTGTAATTGAGATCTTTTGTTATTTGGCAGCTTTCCCCTTTTTAGCAAATGTATGACTAGATGGTCTATGCTTCTTTGCAAAAATCTCAGTCAGTATTTCTTCCAGACCTGAGTCCAGCTTTGACACCTAAAGTGCAATGAGTGCTGAAGAATGCCCTCGAAGGGCAGCTGCCTTTGCTGCCTGTGTTGCCCCATCCCACTCTCTGCACTCTTGAACCCATTCTGATGGAGAAGTTGGAGAAGATGGAGTTTCCTCTGAGGCAGCGGCCGTCTTGTCTTTACTGGTTAGACTCGGTAGCACAGCATCCTAAGGCTGTGGTCCCTGGTTGATGTCTTTTTGTTAAATCAAACTGTGCTGACTGTGTAACATGCAGATCTGACCTGCCACTAAAATGAAAACTTCTCTCTAGATGAGTCAGGGCTAAACTTGTCATGTCATCAGCTGATTACCTCTCAGTACTACCTGCTCATTTGTATGAGCAGCTTTTGCAGTGTCATACACTCAGGGTTATAGCTCATCCACCCGTGTACCTGTAAGTCACTGTGTACTTCATCTCATCTGTGTGAACCAAGTTTCCTTTTTTTATCTCTTGCCAGTTACATTATCCTGGGGCGTCTCTGCTCTGAGCCCAGCTGAAGGGTTTTCTGTCCAGTGCCACCAGTAGGATTGATGGGTCTTGAACTGCGATAGTGGAGGCTAAACTGAGCCAAGAGAAAACTGCGACTGTGTGACTTGTGTTAATCCAGTGCGTAGATAAAAAGAAATAGAAAAGAATGGGACGAACAGAGCAGCTACCAGCTGTTTGAATTTTGCTCTGACTGTATTTTGATCAAGTCAGTGAGTAGCCAAGGAGAGAGGGTAAATGGCACGGTAACGATTCGGGCAGATGCTGGTAAACTGGGGTGACTGTGAGCGCAGTGAGGGCAGCGGAGGAAGACAAAAGGCTTGGCAAGGGGGGGAAGAGGCATGAGGAGCTAGCGTGGGCAGCAGAGTCCCCTTGGCAAAGGGCACATGCAGACATCTGTGGGGGATCAGCTGAGGCACAGCACAGGAGAA